AGGTTCCCTGTCCTGGGGGGGGGTCTCAGATTTGGGGGTCTCTGTCCTGGGGGGGTCCCAGTTTTGGGGTTCCCATTTTGGGGTTCCCATAGCTGAGGGGTCACAGCTTTGGGGGATCCCCGTCCTCAGGGGGGACATCCCAGTCCTGGGAGGTGTTTTTGGGGGGGTTTCCCCAATCCAGGATGATCCCAATCCTTGGCGGGGGTCCTGGTTTTGGGGGGGATCTCAGTCCCGGTTTTGGGGGGGGGTTTCAGTCCTGGTTTTGGGGGGGGTCTCAGTCCCGGTTTTGGGGGTTCTCAATCCCGGTTTTAGGGGTTCTTAGTCCCGGTTTTGGGGGGGGTCTCGGTCCCGGTTTTGGGGGGTCTGGGAGGAGGAGGAGAACCCCAAAAGGAAGAAAATCCCCCAGAAGGAGAAGAACCCCAAGGGGAGGGAAAACCCCATGAAAGCGGGGAGAAAACCCCCAAAAAGGGGGAGAGGGTCCCCAAAACGGGAAGAGGGACCCCCGGAGGGGACGTTTGTCCCCAGGGGTGTCACAGCTGTCCCCGCTCCGTGTCCAGCCCCGCCTGGAGCTGGCCTGGGCCATCAAGGCTCACCAGCACGCCCAGGTCTACTTCAACGTGAGTCTGGGGGATCCTGAAGGGGTTTTGGGGGGTTTTTGGGGGGTCCCAGCTCATCCTTGGCCTCCCCGTGCAGCTCATCTCCTCCGTGGACCCCAAATTCCTCAACCTGACCAAGGTGGACGACCGGATTTACGAGGAATTCCGCCGGAGCTTCCGGGACCTGCGTGTCGACCTGCTGGACCCCGAGGAGCTCAAGTCGGAGCCGGCCAAGGCGGTGGGTGGGGGTTCGGGGGGATTTTGGGGGGGTCCCCCCGTTTTCCTGGGGTTTTTTGGGGTGTCCTGGGGTTTTTTGGGGTGCTGAGGGTGGTTTTAACCCCTTCATTCCCTCCCCTCCCCAGAAGTGGCGCCCGTTCTGTCTCCGCTTCGAGGGGGTGGTGGAGGATTTCAACTACGGAACGCTGCTGCGCCTGGATTCCCGCCGGGAATACACCGAGGAAAACACCATTTTTGGTGGGAAAAGACTGTTTTTGGTGGGGAAAAAGAGCATTTTTGGTGGGAAAAACAGCATTTTTGGTGGGAAAACCCCATTTTTGGTGGGAAAACCACCATTTTCGGTGGGAAAAAACGGCATTTTCGGTGGGAAAAACGGCATTTTCGGTGGGAAAACACCATTTTCGGTGGGAAAACCAGCATTTTCGGTGGGAAAACCAGCATTTTCAGTGGGAAAACCAGCATTTTCAGTGGGAAAAACCAGCATCTGCGGTGGGAAAAACACTGGTTTTGTGTGAAAAACCACAGTTTTTGTTGGGAAAACATCATTTTTGGTGGGAGAAACACTGTTTTCTTTGGGAAACACTATTACTGGTGGGAAAAAACATTGTCTTGGTGGGAAAAATTAGCATTTTTGGGGAGAAAACACCATTTTCGGTGGGAAAAACACTATTTTTGGTGGGAAAACACTGTGTTTGGTGGGAAAAACATCATTTTCGGTGGAAAAACACTTTTTATTGGGAAAAAACGCACAATTTTTGTTGGGAAAACACCATTTTTGTTGGGAAAAACCCTGGTTTCTGTGGGAAAACACTGTTTTTGGTGAGAAAACCACCGTTTTTATTGGGCAAAGCACCATTTTCAGTGGGAAAACTGTTTTTGGTGGGAAAAACCCATAATTTTTGTTGGGAAAACATCATTTTTGGTAGGAAAAATATCGGTTTTGGTGGGAAAACGCCGTTTCTGGTGAGAAAAACACCATTTTCAGTGGGAAAACACCACGTTTGGTGGGAAAAACACTGTTTTTGGTGAGAAAAAGCACCATTTTTGGTGGGAAAAGCCAGCATTTTCAGTGGGAAAACACCGTTTTTGTTGGGAAAAAGCACAATTTTTGTTGGGAAAACATCATTTTTGGTGGGAAAACACCATTTTTGGTGGGAAAAGACTATTTTTGGTGGGGAAAAAACGCCATTTTTTTGTGGGAAAACGCCATTTTCAGTGGGAAATGGGGTGCAGGGAGCTGGAGGGGACCCCAATCCCACAGATCCGCCCTGGAGCTGATCCCTCTCCCCCTTTTTTCAGCCACCAGGATCCAATTCTTCGCCATCGAAATCGCCCGGAACAGGGAAGGCTGCAACGACGCCGTTTTCCGCAGGGAAAACAGGGATGAAGATCGGGATAAAGATCAGGAATTTGGGAAAGGATGAGGGGGGCAGGAACCCCCAGCCTGGATTTTTGGGGGGCAGGAGCCCCCAGCCCCGCTCCAGGATCATTCCCAGGGTTTGGGAAAGCTCTGGAAGTTCGGAGGGGCTGCGGCTCCTCCTGCTGTAAATAAATATTTTAAAATCCCAATGCTGGTGTTGGGATCCCCCTTGGAAAATCCCAAATCCCTGTTTGGGGGTCCCTTCCCTGGCAGGTGTTGGGGGGTCCTTCCCTAAAATGGGGGAGGAATTCGGGGAATTTGGGCCAAATCCAGATGGATTTGGGTCAGGGCTCGAGGATCCCCCCAAATGAAACTTTGGGATTTTGGGGATTTTTGGGATTTTCCCTGTGGGAAAGGGCTGGGGGTGTTGGGGTGAAGAGGGAGAGCTCACAGGGGTTTTGGGGTGCCGGGGAAAATGTTGGGAATTCTGGGCAAGAGCTCAGGGGGAGATCTTGGAATTGGGAGAGAAATCCAAATTCTTGGGGAGAACTTGGTTTAGGGAGAGATCCCGGGGTGCTGGGGGAGATTTGGGGTGCTGGG